TTAAAAAAAATCATCTTAAAATTACATTGTTTTAAAAAAATCTTCATTGAAAAAATTAAAATATATATTTTTAAAAAATAAATTAAAATAATTTTTTATATATTTTTAAATATTTTATTAAAATTATGTAATTTTAAAATAATTTTTTTTAATTCTTTAAGAGGTAAGTGACAAGCATTAATCTATTTTTAAAATATAAATTAGATAAATACTTATTTTATTACAAGACCCCACTAAATCACGTATTATCATTGCCGATAATCTAGGCAAACCAAAACAATACGGAATTAAAGTCAAGCAAATGAAAAAAAAAAAAACAAAAAAAGGGGGAAAAGAATAGCCAACTGAAAAACCAAACGCGGTTTTAGGCTTTTAGCCCTTTCTTTTGTCATTCACTTCCCCCAGAACACAGTAAAGTAAACCCCACCCCCCCCACTCCCAAACCCCTCTTTTCACTCACTCTCACGCTTCTCTTTCTCTCTCTCTCTTCCCTCAAAACTGCCATCTCCCTTTCTCTCGTTGCTTCTGTACTTCTCAAAGGGAAAGAAAGTGTTGAAGGAACCCCAAAACCCCAACACCCATCTCTTAACTCTTCCATTCCTTGGTTTCTCAGAAGTTTAGGAGGTGCCCATGAGAACCCAGATCTGAAAGCTTCACATTTGATTTTGAGCTTAAAAGCTACTATGAATCTCTGAAATTTTTTGTTCCCCAGAAGAAGGTATGTCGTCCTCCGACCCTAAAACCCGACCTAAACCCGGTTCATGGCCACCGGCTCCTGATGCTGCTCCAATTCCGCCGTCTTCATGGGCCAAGCGTACTGGCTTCCGTCCCAAGTTCTCTGGGGAGACCAATGCCAGTGACTCTGGTCAATTATCGTTGCCTCCGAGGCCTAGAGAGCCGGATAACCAGCCAGATCTTGAGGCGGGGAGAGCCCCTCTGGTGCCAGTGGCTAATGGGGTGCAGGAGAATCAGAGGGTTGTGGCGGAAAAGGATCAGAAAGTTAAGAAAAGGAAGGATTCTGACGGCCAGCCCAAAGGGTCCAGTCCGGGGCACAACGGTACGGCAAACGCTAATGGGCACGCGGGAGCAAACGGGGCAGCTGAACCGGCGCCACGGAGGGCTGCCAGGACTGAGGAGGCGGGGTACGTCTTGCCTCAGAGTACAGATGATGATGGGTTTGTTGGTAGGCCCTCGCATATGATCTACGAGCTCAGGGATACACCTGGTCTTGGTCAGTTTCTGCTCCTTGTTCCATAATTTGAGTGGTTCCAGTGAAGTTAGATTCCAAACAGGGGATGTTTTCATTTTTATTATTATCTTTTTGTAACGTTTATATTGATGATTTGTATTTCCTGTCTCGACTTACCTGTGTCTATTGGCGACTATGAAAGTGAAAGATATGATATTTATTGATAATTGAAAGATGGGTCAGTTTTTGTCTTTGTGGGTTTTGAATGTTTTCTGGACTTTGATTTTTTAAGGTGAGAATGTGAGATTATTATTTGATTATCTTGATAATTGGAAAACAGCTGGTTGGAGTTTATTGTGTGGCGAAAGCAGAGGTAGTTTGTTAAATATTCGCCGTTTATTACTTTTTGTGGTGCATATTAGCTAGTTTAAGTGTTCAAATAATCGTCTTTGCTTAATTTTCTTGATGACATTGAAAATAGTAGGTGGTCTATTTTTTTGTGTGTTCTATGCTTGAGGATCTAAAAGGTTGTGACTTTTGTTTATTTTTGAAGAATAAAATGTCAGTTGTGTTTTTAACTGGCTTTTATTATGTTTCAGTTCCCATTGGTCTCTATGGATTCCAGCATTATCTTTCAATTTTGGGTTCATTGATTCTTTTTCCACTCGTCATAGTTCCTGCTATGGGTGGCACTTCTGTGAGTAGTTAAATTCTGTTGTGTTCATTTTTGAAATTCATACTTTTACGAAGATGCATTGGAAATTGCTTTCGTGGGTGTAGGAGGATACTTCAAATGTTGTTTCAACTGTGCTCTTTGTGTCGGGTGTGACCACGCTTTTGCATACATCTTTTGGGTCAAGGTTGCCTCTGATACAAGGTCCATCATTTGTTTTCCTAGCTCCCGCACTGGCCATAATTAACTCTCCAGAGTTCCAAGGACTGAATGGAAATGTATGTCCTTGTTCTCTAGTTTTCTTTGTAGTTATTTGAACAAGTTAATCTTTGTCTTTTTGCATTTCTCCACAGTAGTTTCCTTTAAGATGTATTATAGTATACTGAAAATGTTTAGTTTTATTGTTCTATTCTTTATGTAAAATGGCACAAAATCTATGTTGTCAATTTCATTACTCATTAGCAGATCTATCATATTATAAATTGATCAAAATTGACATTTATCATGAGTTTTGTGGTCATGGGTTTAAGAGGTTTGGCTTGAGGTTTATAAAAATTGTAGCTACACCTTAGGGAGGTTGTTCGTTGAAAACTGTGGGGCTATTTCAGGATATTTTGATTAATATATTTGAATTGTTTAATTGTTGGAAATTGATACTGTAATGTATGGAGGGTTAGGGTTTTGATCTCAATAGAGAACAGTTGGATTTGGTGTACAACAGAGAAGGGAATGTAAAAGCCTCGGATACATCACTTTGTATATTCCCTGTGTAATATGATGACTGTTTTCACTTTGCTGGACACCTATCTCTTAAATATTTCAGTAATTTCTGTGAAATCATTTTAACTTACAGAGTTTCAAGCATATTATGAAGGAGTTACAGGGGGCCATTATCATAGCTTCAGCATTTCAAGCATTCCTAGGATATAGTGGAATCATGTCACTGTTTTTGAGGTATGTTTCAACAGTAATTTCAAGTTTTCATTCTTTACCCTTTTTTTAACTTTTCTACCTTAGGAACATCCATAATTTCCTTTTCTTGTGTGCTGCAGCATGTTTTATGCCAAATTCTTTCTCCCTTTTCAGGTTGATCAATCCGGTGGTTGTAGCACCTACCATTGCTGCTGTTGGACTTTCTTTTTATAGCTATGGCTTCCCACTGGTTGGTACATGTATCGAGATTGGTGCTGTGCAGATATTGCTGGTTATCATTTTTTCTCTTGTAAGTTGTTTGATTTATTTTTTTATTTTTTGTAAGTCATAATTCATTACTCTATATAATATATTGTAGACCAGTGTGATCACTGCATATCTATACTCTGCTTTTTGAGACAAAACATCTGAAAAAATGTTTCTGTATGTGCAGTACCTTCGTAAGATATCTGTCTTTGGTCATCGCATTTTTCTCATCTATGCGGTATGTTTTATGTTACAAACTCCTTCAGCATTTTTATTTCAGTATGTTATTAATAGTGCTCTGGTACATTTTGGATGATATTATATCATTCCATTTGTCTTATGTTGTTACTTTTATTAACTGTCAGGTTCCCTTGGGTCTTGCAATAACTTGGGCATTTGCATTCCTTCTCACTGAAACCGGAGCCTATAGTTACAAAGGTTGTGAACCTAATGTACCTGCCTCAAATATAATATCTGAGCATTGCAGAAAACATATTTCAAGGGTGAAGAACTGTCGAGTTGATACATCTCATGCGTTGAAATCCTCCCCATGGTTTAGGTTTCCTTATCCGTTACAATGGGGCACTCCTGTCTTTAGTTGGAAAATGGCCCTCGTTATGTGTGTGGTTTCCATAATTGCATCAGTAGATTCGGTTAGTCTCCCACCAACTTTTACAATTGAGTCTTTTCAAGATATAAATTATGGTTGCAATTTGAACTGCTATCGTGGATTCATGTTTTCTTCTTCAGTTGCATCATCTGTGGTGATGTATAATTTCACTAATGGACTATTTATTATTTATTGTTATGTCTAGAAGGTCCTAAAATCTCCATATTGTAAAATGTTTAATTTACTATGGTGTCAAGAAAGATTTTCATTTTGGTCTTCCAGGAAATCAGAAAAGAATCCTTTGCTTTGATATTTGAATCAAAGGTCTAAAGTGTGCATGTGAATTTAACGTTAGGGAGTGACTTTTATATCGAGATCTTGGATGCTGTCAAAAGATAAATGGTTGGATTCAGCGGCAAGGATCTTTGGTTCTAATCGATAACATGATTGACAGAAAATGTTATACCATTAAAAAAAATCTGAATATCTATATCTTCTTAGAGTATGGAACGTTGGCTTGGATGCCTCTTAAAGGTTTCATCTATCATGACTCCATCTTGAGCCTTCAGGAGAGAATCTTTGGCATGATTCCAGTTACCTTCAAATCCTTTTTAAAGTTAGGGGAAGTTTGTAAATGAGTGGTCTATCCAAATTAATTTGGACAGGGCATTAACACAAACTTACATTCTCCTTCCGTTGTCTTTTTTGTCTAGTGTTCTCCATTTTCTTGGAACAAAAAGTCTTGTTTAGATTAGTCAATTAAATTTATATGTAGCAAGCCTAGAGCATAATGAAATCATGTGTAAGCCCATGATTATAGTACATCAAGTTCTATCTTTAAATGTACGAATCAAGAAAGGCTACATAACCATGTTGGCTTTTGTTCTCTGAAGCTTTAAATTAGTTCCTTGGATTTATGTGGATTTTTTGATGTCTTAGGTTGGCTCATACCATGCGTCATCATTGCTGGTGGCATCAAGACCTCCTACACCTGGAGTTCTTAGTCGAGGAATTGGGCTTGAAGGCTTATCTAGTGTGTTGGCTGGTCTTTGGGGTACAGGAAGTGGGTCCACCACTCTAACTGAAAATGTGCATACCATTGCTGTCACGAAAATGGGAAGCCGCAGGGCTGTTGAACTGGGTGCATGTGTTTTGATAGTCTTATCCCTTATAGGTATATTTTAATCAACTTTTTCTGACTTCTTAATATGATGCATGAATCCAATGATATCTATTCAGCTTCTAATGGCCTCTTCTATAAGTTCTTTGTGCTTTATAAATTGTCATATAAAATTACAAATTCTTAAATCACAATGTTCTATTTAGTGTTAATATTTGGAATTTATAAAAAGAGAAGCAAGTTTCTTTTGATTGCTCTAATTGTTTGCGTCGGTTTCTGTATGATGGTTTGTGTCATGCATAGGTAAAGTTGGAGGGTTTATTGCCTCGATTCCTCCAGTCATGGTTGCAGCTCTCCTGTGCTTCATGTGGGCAATGCTTACAGCATTGGGTCTGTCAAATCTACGTTATAGCGAGGCTGGAAGCTCTCGGAATATCATAATTGTTGGGTTATCTTTGTTTTTCTCCCTCTCAATACCGGCCTACTTTCAGCAATACGGCATCTCTCCAAACTCCAACTTGTCTGTTCCAAGTTACTTTCAACCATATATTGTGGCATCTCATGGACCTTTCCGCAGCAAAAATGGAGGGGTATGTGTATCTTTGACTTATATTTGAGTAGAAGTATATTGTCATCATTGTGTCCTGTTATATCATACTGCATCTCTTTGCATTGGTGAATTCAAAAATGGCTATCATAACAAGTTTAACCAAACACTTATGCACCTTTTGGGAAATATTTGTGTTAGCAGGTGAACTATGTCATGAATACATTACTGTCATTGCATATGGTGATAGCATTCCTTCTAGCCGTTATACTGGACAACACTGTACCTGGAAGTCGACAAGAACGTGGAGTGTATGTATGGTCCGAACTAGAGACAGCAAGAAGAGAACCTGCAGTTGTAAAAGACTATGTTTTGCCCTTCCGGTTTGGTCGGGCTTTCCGATGGGTGAAGTGGGTCGGGTTTTGACAATTTTTTGCTGGAACAGTGACCAACACCATGTCCTTAGTAGCCATTCATGGGGTTCTTGGCAGAGCCCTGCACATTGATTCTAAACATATAAAATCCCATAAAGCTTCATATGGTAAATAGTTTTCTGAACTCTTCTGCATTTTTTTTCTTTCTCGTATACGGTAGGACTTCTTTTTGGGACTATATATATATAGGGGCAGCTGGGTTTTTTCTGCACATCGAGAATCCAGATGGATTTTGGGGTTGCTGTAATTTTAATTTTTAAAACCATTATATTGTACCTAGATTTTGCCTTTCTGTATATTTTTCTCATTACTCTTTTTTTGGTAAGCTTCTCTTTAAAATTCATGATTAAATTTTTTATTCATATCTACCATTGTGACTTTGTTTCTAATACACATTTTGACATTTATGTGTCTTGTTATTTTTTTAACCTTTTTGTTTTTGAAAAAAACAAAGTTCTGTGAACCAAATGTAGCATTGGAATGGTAGGTACGAAAGTCTAGTTTTCTGTTCATCCTTCAAGTGGAATTATATAGAGGAGAACCTACAAATGTCCAACCGTCTTCTATACATGCTTAAACAAATGATTTAAGCTGTCATGTGGGTTTAGCTTGTAATCCTTACGTTTTTAGTTTTTGTTTGTTTCTGTTATGGTTCTCGAAAGCAAGTCAATTACGATTCTAATGTGTCATGTAGACCAATGCTTAAGCATAAATTAACTTAAAAACATGTAATTAAGCTAACTCGGCTGAACAAGGGACAAGATTACGCTATCCACTTGTAAGAAGTTAGCTTCCACTGGTCGGACATGATTACTTGAGGCCATTAACATGGTAGGAGTATATGCATTAAATTTTGTTTAGGTCACAATGATCTACGTTTTCTTTACGCACCTCCTTTTTGGTGGGTGTAAAGAAAATAATGTTATAATTTTTTTCATTCAATGGTAAGTTATAGTATTCAAAAATATTAATTTATAAATAATTTTTTAATGTATTAAATAATATATAATAATTATTTTATTAATTATTAGTTAACAACTTTAATTATTATTTATTTTAATAATTAAATCAAATAAATCTAGTGCTTTTAAAGACTAATTAAAAAAAAAATATGTGGCCAAGACATTTCTCCTCTTGTGACAATAGTCGAGTAAAGGTGCAAAAAAAAATGTCAATTTTATAATTTTTTTATTTAAAAATGTTAATTTTGTTAATTTTTAAATAAAAATGTTAATTTTTAATATTTTTTATTTAAAGAAATCAATTTTTAACTTTTTTTTATTTAATGATATCAATTTTAAACTTTTTCTATGTAAACATTAATTGAATAATGATGTTAATGTGGTAAATGAATTTTTTAATCAAAATATTAAAAGTTGATATCTTTAAATAGAAAAAGTCAAAAATTAACATTTTCATTTAAAAATTAACAAAATTAACATTTTTATATAAAAAAAATGATAAAGTTAACATTTTTTTTTACACCTTTACTCCATACCAACCATGCCTTTTGATTTTATAACGTAGTAATTAACAACTATTTCGCCAAACCCAACCGTCATTAATGGAGAATACTCATAAATAGAGCACGTGTAGAATAATGTTAGGCGTTCCTTTTTCATTTTTTAACTGATAATAAAGAAAATGGGCAATGTTTTTTTTTTTTTTTTAATCTTAATTGTATAATAAGAAACAATCATTTTTCATTTTTTATTTGACTTCACTCGTATATTATGTAATTCAAATTTCAAATTTTTTATTTTTAATAAAAAAAATAATCATTAAATTATTTAAGACGTTAGTAAAAATGAACGATGTTAGATAGAAATATATATCTATTTTTCTAATAAGCTACGTCCTTTTAAATATGCTTAGAATCGTTTTATTTTATTTTATTTTTTTATTGAAGACTAGGAGTGGGTGCATGATTAAATTATATTATATATCACAATATAAAAATTGATAAGGAATCGTATCCCTTGTTGGTCTTTTTTGTCTTTTCACCTAATCGAATTAAAAAGGTGAGCCTACCAGATGCACGTTTTTATATGGATGGTTTATAAAAACTAATTAAATTATCAGTAATACTATAATTACATTATTATATTATATTATAAGTTTATAATTATAATATAATATTAAATAAATATAATATTAAACAAATATAATATAATATGAAATAAATAAATACATATAATATCATATTTAGATTTGTAATTAAAAAAAATTTATCATATAATAACACATTACATTGTTAATTTACGAAGCCACTTGATATTACAACTATAAAATTTTCATTAAATTAATTACAAGCCTAAGAAATAAAGGACATCAATTGTAACTTGAGTAAATATGAGTTCAAATCCTAATCCATATGACTTGAATTTAAATGGACAGTGAATGCTATACGATTTGAAGAAAAAAGATTAAAAGCAAAATTCATCACATGCATTGCAATGCCGATTAAATGTAAATTATCAAAACTACTCGATAAAATGCTCCTTTAAGATACACAACACAACAATTACACATTGACTAAGATTTTTCCCACTTTGGGCTTATTTAGTTGACAAATTTTCAATGAAATTGTTGTTTTGAAAGTTTCTACATTAAATAACTGTTGTTTTAGTTAACTAAAAACACGTTTCTGAGGCAACAACTCAACCAAACAGGCTAACTTGGTCTCTCTATAGCTGAAAGGGTTTCAGTAGATAATTAAATAGCTTTACATTTGTGAGAAAACAAGGCAGGGGAGAAAAATATGAAGAAAAACAAAGTGTCTATTTATAGCCTTATACAAAAAAATATTTTATAATACAAAATCAATTAATATAATTATGTCAATCAATTATAATGTGAATATAATTATGACAATACGAACATAATCAAGTGAGAATATTTTGTAATAACATTAAAATGTTCATATTTCGTAACAAGGTCCAGAATTTGAAGTGCCATCACCGTATAATGACTAACCAAATGAAAACAAGTATGCTGAAATTCAATGTTAATATCACTCAATCATTGTCAAATAAAGCTTGGAGTTTTACCAAGTAATTGTCAGTCCAAGATTGGTGAGAAAGAAAGATTGGTAGAAATTAATTTTCTTTCCCCATTTTTTTAAAAAAGCATTTTTTAATGCACCCAATTTTCCAAAATGGCTGGCTGCATACCTTTTCCTTCATCTCTTTCCCCCCTCCACTCTCCTTTCTCTCCCCTGTTTTATTTCCTTAATTTTTTTTATTGAACAGAAGTTAAATTGTTTAATTTCCTTAATTTTTGAACAGGTTTACAATTTAAGTAAAGAAATTCAAACCCTAATCTAAAAATTAAGAGATACACCTTTACAAATTGATTTAATTTATAGTCATTAAATTATAAGACCCATAACGTTTTATTTCCTTAATTACTTATGCATATAAGTGAGTTTTGTATTATGTAATCTGACTAGAAATTTTGAACAGTACATGTACGACAATAGACCGTTCCTAAATAAATCTGACAAAAGAAAAAGAGGATAATAATGTTAGTGAAACTTAGGTACTGTGTTTGTTTATGATGACCAAGCCTGCACTGATTGACCTATTCTGGATTCCTAAATAAATCTGACAAAAGAAAAAGAGGATAATAATGTTAGTGAAACTTAGGTAGTGTGTTTATGCTGACCAAGCCTGCATTGATTGACCTCTTCTGGACACTGGCAATAACCCGATATTTCCAAGCTATTTCCTTTTCCATTTAATTTTCTTTTACTTTTCAATTAGGTTTAGTACTGAAAATAAAACCTTTAGATTAAAAACTTAAACAATTGTCAAGGGAAAGAAAAAGAATTCATTCCCATAACATAGAGGGGACACTCACCTTTGACTTGGCTTGCAATCTTAAAACTTTTAAAATATCATATGATAAATTATATAATAATAGATATATATTTTTT